CTGTCTTGTGTGGGTGAGGAATGAGGTTAGGTCCTGATTTGTGGGTTAATATATTAATTCTATGTTGTTAAATTTGTGATTAAGTCCGTGAGGCACAGAATCCATTTATCTTCATGGTTTTCTAAAATTTTTCTAAAGTTATCTGCTCTCAACTTTTCTATTTTCTCAATTATAGTGAATTTGGCATGGGATTTAATATCGTGTTTTTGTAGGCGGAAATGTTCTACAGGTAATAATGTTTCATGGGGTGCCGGCTTAATTCGACTTAATTTGATGTTATTCTGTAGTTAAAGGTACATTCAGATATTTTCACATATTGTTTCTGGCATACTGTACATTCTAGGAGGTAAACTATTTTATGACTTTTACAGTTAGACTCGGAGTAGATTTTGAAAGTAGATTTAGTGACTGATCTATTGAACGAATTGGTGTGTCTAATGTGGTTACAGTATAAGCTCCTTTTGTTGTTACATGGTTGGGAAAATCCTGTTGTTTTTGGTTTTTTACAGATTACCTTATCCTCTGAAATGTGGTTACTATCTATCTATCTATCTATCTATCTATCTATCTATATATATATAATTGTGTTTCGAGCAGAAATCCCCTTTTTATACAAGATTCATTAATTCGGCTGATTAAGATTTTTATTTATTTTTTTGTGTTCGTATAAGTATTTTATTTTCGGGACATAAAGTGTGTAAAAATTGACTAAATGCTTTATATATCCGAGTGCTTTGGGATATTCTATTAAACATTATCAAGGATGTTTTTAATTTTTAATTTTAAACTGAATGTGTGGATTTCATTCAAAATGCTGAGACCAAATCTTTTGAATGGTAAAAAAACAAAAAAACATGTAGACGAAGCTATTATACGTGTATTTTCTAAAAGTATGCTGCAAATGGAGTTTGATCGATTTCCGAGTGTGTTCAAATGATAATTTAGAAGTAACACCTTCACTAGTTCGTTATATATGAAACTAGTAGTAACATATTCACGTTATACAAAAAAAAAAAAAAACACAAGTAGAGATTCTTGCAACATTAATTTTATGAATGAATGTCTACTTAGATATAAAATAGGTGTTATAAAATATTCCTCAGGAGAGCGCACGATAATTTATCCTCTTCCATAAAGAAACAGGCACTAGTTAATGTTTTAAGCGATATCATTATGAGATTAAATGATATTAATAACGTGTCCAATGCAAACGAATTTTATGCGGTGTGGCGTAATGGATAATGGCTTGGAATGTGACATCGGATAGTCGAGTTCTAATTTCAGACGGGTTCAATACAATTATTTCGATGCATAAATACCCATGGGAAAGGTATGAATCCACATTTACTCCTCCCAGCTATGGGTTGATTAGAAGACTGGGTCAATAGCCTTCGCTGGCAACCAGTATATTACAGAAAAAAATGGCAACCTACTGCGAGAAAATCTGCCTAATCAGTCATGAATCGAATGAGACAAGATCTCCCAAATGTGTATGACGTGTGTCATTTAACTGACTTGTCTTTTGCTTGGTTATTTAGCCATTGTTACATTACACGGTCCTAGAGGCATTATCCTAAAGCATTTATGATCGAAATTCTTTTCAATCAATGTGAATTACACTTGCGTAGCTAGATTGTGTGCCGTTCGGGGCAGAGTGTGTGCCACCCTTGAGTTTGCCGCTCCTCTTCCTACCTCACAAAAAATACAATATATTACACAGTGACATGCTCCTATATATATATATATATATATATATATATATATATATATATATATATATATTAACAGGAGGACCAAAATACGAAAAAATAGAACAACACATACCCTTACGCAAAATGTCAAAGAAAATAACGGAAATTTTATAACAACCAGGATGTGTCTCCCACACACAGCAGCGTTTCGGCATTAAGTGAACGAACCCTGTACAAGAATGACTAAGCAGCCCTAACTATATCACTGGATAATATTGTTCAGCCAAGATAATAATCGCTTAAATACATATGCCATAGCTTAAGTTACTCGAAATAAAAAGGTCCCTCAACCGTGAATCGTGTCCCGACATTAAGGCCAATTTTATTTATATACAGCGTATACAGGCTTATACAGCAGACCTAAAAGTGCCGTCCCCATAAAAGTTTCGTTAGACGGACCGCTCCTCTCACCCTCTTGCTACTGGTGAGTTATAATAGTGACAATTAAACAAATTGATCAACAGGAACATCGAATCATGTAATGCTTACAGTTCAGGTCCTAATTCTATAACTGCTACATTCTGATAATTCTAAATTTCTCTGGCTTGCATAATAATCATATAGCTTACATCTAAAGTTGGTATTTAAAAACATATATTTAATTTTATAAATAAGAAAATTATTTGAAAAAAATGTTCCATGTTCAAAATTCATATTTTAGGTATACGTGGTTGAGTTGACATCCCTGATTTTTTTATTCTATAAATATGGATATCAGGTCAAACACGTGCACACAAGAAAATAAAGTTTATAGTAATAATACTCCCTCCACACACACGCACATATGTATATATTTAAGCATCATATCTTCATTCAGACATGTTTCATTGAATTATATTTTATATTACTATTTTTATAATAATCCTTTCTAGTTATCTAATCAGATTTTGATGTTAAGAAGAAAATTCATTAAG